GGTGTCCAGTATTGGTGTATATATCGATGGATGATGTGGTGGCCAACCCCTGCAATACTATGGCATTTGTCGAGGAGTTCAGACAAATGGGAGTAAATGTTAGGTTAAAATGTTGGCAAAAGTCAGTTCATGTGAGCCATTACTTATTGTATCCAACAGAGTATGAAGTTGTATCCACATAATCTTTGCTCATATCTACCGGAGCCGGACAGTAGGCCTCCGATAACATATAGTTTGTTATATTCGACATAAAGTTATATTATTTTACTCTATAACAGTGTATTAAAGTTTAGTTTTTATTATCTAAAATAAACTTAACCATGTATACTGATTTTATAAAGGTAATTCATGTAAATGATTGGCTTTGAAATTATAACTTAAATTTTTAAAGAATATCTATCCTAATTGATTCATTAATATATAAGTAAATAAATTAATATTACATGTAAATTAGGTATATTTTAATGAATGTATTTAAAATTAATTTGCAAAATGTTATAATTGAGAAAATACAATAATACCACAAAGTACAATCTGATGATACATGGTCACTTGATTTGTAATACAGTGTACTGTATACGTACCATCATACGAATTTATGTAATGTATCCTGAAAAATTTTTCCACTAAGATATCATTAATTCGATATTAATTGTTATTGGTAAGCAACTCTTAAATATCTATTATTATTTAGACAATAGTGCAATTAATTTCTCATTAAGTTTTATATGTTTTTAATGCCAAAATTATATATTAGTATTTAATGTAATAATAAGTTGGACGTTAATAATTATATTTTAATTAAATGTATTAAATTTAAAACAACATCAAGGAAATATGAGAATTAAATTTAAACAATTAAATAATAATTATTGTTTTGAATAATACTTTGATATATCTATCAAACAAAAAATTTAAATATGCAATTAAGCTATTTAATATTTATCAAGGGAATATTCAGTCTAAACTCTTTAAGCTCAATATAAAAAGGCATAAAATGTGCTTGAAAATTGTTCACATAAACCAAGATTATTGAGTAGATCATTAGAAATAGCAAAGTAATAATTGCTATTGATATTTGAATTTCCCTTTTCAAAGTTTTAGAAAAATACTTTTGAATTTATATATTTTAAAAATGACTGAAACCAAAATGAATTCGGCAATATGTGAAACTGAGCAGGTTCATCATGTGAAGACCCCGTATAAACGAGAGCTGGTGTGGCGTAACATAATACTGATGACTATATTGCATTTGTCAGCTCTGTATGGCTTTTATTTAGCCATAACTGCGGTTCAGTTTAAGACAATTATATTCTTCAATTTTATTGCTTTCTTTTCATCGTTTGGTATTCAGGTATTCAATACTATTTTTGCTAATATATTAAACATTTCATTTATTTTTATACACTATTGACACCAGTGTGGAGCTCATAGACTATGGTGTCACCGGACATTCAAAGCCAAACTCCCCCTTCAGGTCATACTAATGGTGTTGCAGACAATGTCCCTCCAGAACGACATATTTGAATGGAGTCGCGACCATCGCCTGCACCACAAGTACTCGGACACCGACGCCGACCCACACAACTCCAGTCGGGGTTTCTTTTTCTCACACGTGGGTTGGCTTTTATGCAAAAA